TAAAACCGGGAGACCAGTCTTTTACCAAAAACAGTTTTTTTTAACACGTGTTTCTAAAATGGAGAATGGAGGTTGTTGCACTGAATGGGGTGCAAGAATAAAACTTCTAAGTTGTAAATACTTAAAAATGTGTTTCTACGGTATATTAAACTTTACCTTTAGCTCATTGAATGACATTAGAGTATTATCCTAATATACATTCTGTAGTTTTACTAAACCCTTGTTCAACCATACTTTAAAACCCATGTCGTTCCTCTCCGGGGTGAAGTTATCATTACCCCAGATTGGGGAGAAACAGGACAACCCTGGGGAGTCATCCAACATCTTTTGTACTACATGCCAAACCACAATAGTGTTCTTTACAAAATTATTAGCTGTGCTTTTTCTAAACGTTTTAAAAGATGCTGAGTATAGATAGCTATTCAATGATAAACCTTTTGAGGACAGTTTTTTCAATTTCTAACCAGGGCATGAAAACATCTTTCGAAAATCAAAACATTGTGTTCCTCAACTGAGCAGCCCGATAATACCTTTCTAGATTTGGCAACTGTAGCCCTCCTCTGTCATAAGGTAAATATAAGAGGGTCTAAGTCTTGGCTTCCTATTGTTCCAGATTAAATTAGGAAGAAGTTTTCTGGTCTCGTGAAGATTTTCACAGATCTTTGACGTTAATTTTATTTGTGTCACCAGCTTATTTCTTTAGATGTTTTTTTTAAATCATCTTAACACGTGTTGATGGTCAGACTCTGAACATACAGATACAACAGATAGATAGAATAAAATAACTTATAACACAGTAGCCACAGTAAAACAGTGCAAAAACAGTAAACAGTGCAAATGGAGTGCAGATGGAAGTAAAGAATACAGATGTCCTCCCTGCCATGACTAGGAGCTGTTGTACAGTCTGATGGTCAGGGGGACGAAAGACTTTTTAAGTCTGTTGGTGGAGCTGGGCTAGAACAGCAGTCTGCCACTGAACACACTCCTCTGCCCGATGAAGGTGTTGTGCAGCAGTTTGTCCACGCCCACCTTCTCCTGGTATCCAAACTGCAGTGGATCTTGTGCATGGTGAACCTGGGGTCTGAGGACATGTAGCAGCAGCCGTTCAAAGGTCTTCATGATGTGTGAAGTCAGTGCTACTGGAAGTCACCCTGCTCCCTGGGGTGTTTTTCTTTGGGAACTGGGATGAGACATGAAGTCTTCCGGAGCACTGGGAACCTCCCTAGCTGCAGGCTCAGGTTGAAGACATGCTGTGGATGTGGTCTGCAGTCTGAGGTGGTGATGGACATGGTGGTGTGAAGTGGGCCATCGCTGGTTGTGGGAGCTGGAGTATCAAACCTGTTAAAAAACAGGTTTAGCTGGTTTGCACTCCCAGAATCCCCCTCTCCTGCAATACTGCACTTCTTCTTGCTGCCTGTGATGGTTTTCATGCAAGCAGCGTACCGGTGGGGATCACAACGTCCATGCAGAAGTTCAGGTAGTCAGAAGTGCAGCGTGTGACCCCCTCGATGTCCTCACCATGTGCTTCCTGCAGGACGCTCCAGTCAGTACATTCAAAGCAGTCTCTCAGAGCCTCCGCTGCCTCAGGAGACCACTTCCTGAAGGATCGTTTGGTCGTGGACTGTCTCTGGATCAGTGGTTTGTACTGTGGCGTGAGCAAGACCAGGTTATGATCAGACTTTCCCAGTGGGGGCAAAGAAGTGGCAATGTAAGCTTCCCTCACGTTGGCATACAGGAGGTCTAATGTCCTATCCTTCCTGGTGGGGCAGCTTACAAACTGGTGAAAGTCTGACAGTGTGGCGTCCAGTGTCACGTGGTTGAAATCCCCGGAGATGGCGATGAATGAGTCTCTTGATGTAAACAACAACAGCAATGGCGTGGGAGAACTCTCTAGGCATGTAGTACGGTTGCACACGATCTCCTTCACCATGCCCCCCCTCCTTTGCTTTTGCCGCTGCCCCCACAGTCCCGGTCCGCTCTCATTAGTGTCCGGGGTGTTCTGGGTTAGCCAGGTTTCCGAGAGGCACAAGGGCAGCCAGCTCGTCTGTCTTGTTGGTCAGACAGTTCACATTCCCCATCACTATCGACAGAACCGAAGGCTTGTACTTGTATCCATAGTATATATAAAGTTTTACACAGCTAGTGTTAGATAAAGAGTTAACGTTAAAGTTAAAAAAAAACACACTTAAAGTATTAAAAACAACACAACACATACGGAGCTACTGGATCAGCGCCGGCGCCGGAAGAGTATTCCAAAATGACAAAATGTCAGAAACAATTCTCAGTGTAACATGATAATAAAACAATAAAACAAACTATATACTATTAAAATTCAGTGGCACCACAAACTACAGCCTCCAAATTACCTAACACCTAAATCAGTTTCACCAAAAACTGAACATTATAACTTAATCAACATTAACATTACATATAACATTAAAGGGGCATTATGGAGTTTCCACTAGCGGTGCGGTTCTTAGATTGCAACCAGGTGTGTGCTCGTACAAGTGCTCGCTTGAACTCATGAGAGAGCATAATCCAAAACAATACCACTTTCATACAGAAATACCACAATAAATGCAGGGACACCAGCATCCAGGCTTTAATTCGGCGCAGCGAGCCGCATATTGGCTCAATACTCCCGAAAAAAGGTAAAACGACAGTGTCTGTAGACAGACAGGGAGAACAAACAGAGCTGGAAACTCAGGTAAACTCCCACTACAACATTACAGTAATAGTTTTATCAACTGTAAGTTGATGTGCTACATCGTTAGCTCACCAGCTGCTTTTCAGTAACTAACTTTACTTTCTGTCTATCTTTCACTGGAGTCTCAGCAATGTGATCACAGCTACATGTATTGGATGATAATGAAATGGTTAGTGAGCTAGAATGGATATCATAATGAGATTGTGTCACACTTTATAAAAGTTAGACCACAGTAAGTAACTTTACTGTAACTAGTGTTAGTGCATGGCTCTTCCTCTGTGGTGTTGTGACCGTTTTGTTGCAGTGTTTTATGTTATGTGGGTCACGTTAGTTCCAGCAACTGAGAGGTGGAGAAGCTGTGTACCTGAGTATTGGTAAAACCACAATAAACATAAACTAAACTTTACGAAGAAAACAGCGGCAGGTCTGAGCCACTGTAGTGTCAGCTGGCTGCTCCTGGCTGCATCACTATAGGCTAACGTTAGTAAACAAATCGCTCCACATTTGCATTTTGCTGTTACATCCTTTCTTGCAGGCTAAATGAACAGTGGTACACAGGATAGTAACATGGGTGGCGTTAGTTGGTGAAGTGTGGAAGAGGCAAGCACTCACCGTGGAAAGCGATATAACTTTGCACCGGTTACAACAGACTTTCTCTGTGTTTCTCCAGCTTTACTAATGCTCACTTTTTTCTTACTTGGCATCATCTGAACCTGTTTGGTCTGATAGGCTTCAATACATAAACCTTTATTGTTGTTTTGTATCCTTACGTGGAGCCTGGGTTTTATGGTTGTTAGTGGACTGCATGCCGTTAGTCTGAGAGAGGCTTACATATAGCCCCTTTAAATAAAACTATATACATTGTATTTGCCTCTTGTAGGGGGGTAAACATTTTTAACAAAAATTTAACATAATTACATAATCAACATTAACATTAAATATAACATTAAATAAAACTATGTACATAAAAAGTATCCAGTGTCCATGCCTCTGCTAGTTGAGGTTTAATGTCCTCCAACCACTGCTCCTTTGGAACAGCCTCTATAGAGGGGCAGTAAACATTACCCTGTGTCCAGATGGGGGGAGCACATTAGCAGGGGAGTGTGGTCAGCTGCTACAGACAAGCGGCTGGGCAAGTTCAGCGCCTTCATCCCCACCATGTTTTCCTGCCTCTTCAACATTTTGTTATGCCACTGCACAAGGGTGGTGTGGCTCACATCCACCAGCTGCAGGGCGTCCTGCTGCATAACTGCTCCATTGGCCAGAATGAGCTGCCTGATTGTTGTGTAGTCGTTCAGGATGAGATCCCATCAAGACACTGTGCCAGTCCCTTTCTTCTTGGGACTGCGGTGGAAGGTGCAGAGCCTGATAAAGATGGTCTCAATCAGACGGCAGCAATCTGGCCACTAGGCAAGCGGGTCAGTGATGGTGAGTGCTTGCCTCTTCACGCTCATCACCCCAGTGAACTCCCGCCACTTTTTGGGAGACCTAAATCTCCCTGTGTCCAGCCTGCTCTGCTAAGCTCTGCTTATCGTGGTCCAGCAGGTTCTGCCACAGAACAACAATGGTGCTCATCTAAACAGGGAGAGAATACAACAGCACGTGAGAAGAGTTAAGTGTTAAGGGTGAACATGTATGAAAAGGCAGGGAAAGTAGCAAGACAATAAATGTTCCTGACCTGCTGGTTGTTTAGGTACAGAGCAATCTGTTTTTTCAGCTCCACCAGATACTTTGGCGAGCTGTCAACTTTGTCCAAGCCTGGCATGTCAGTGTCATCCCCAACCTAAAAAAAACATCCACACAAAACAGATGAAGTGGGAAAAAATGCAAATACAGTGATTTTATTTATTTACACATAATTGTGTCTTTACATACGATGGAAACAGCAGCCACGGAGGATGCAGCAGAGCTACAGCTACAGCTCGCACACTAATAAAACGTTGCGCATTTTACATATAGTAAAAGGAAGGAAGGAAGAGTTGAGTGATGTTTGAGAGAACGAGTAAACTGTATATCATCGCCCTTTACTTGAGGCCTGGTCGATTTATTCATGGCTTCATAATACTATAGTGAATAAAGCTAAAACAGACAAAAGACATTTGATCAAATATGGTAAAACATAACTGGACAATACAAAGCAAAAGTTCCCAATCGCCCACCAAAATATAAACACACACACACACACACATAATTGTTTGTCATAGGAGGAGTCAATGCAAAACTCAGATGTCTTCCACCTCTACTTATCTGACTGCAGAGAGGATGACAGAGAACAGTGGACACACAGTTTAACATGATGGACTATAGGACAGGACTGCTGCTTTTAACTGTCTGCTGGGCAGGTGAAGATTTTCACTGATCTTGAGTTAAATCTGTCTTCATAAATGTGCCAGCTTACAGCAAGTGACTATGTTTTATTCTTTTGACAGGTGTTGATGGTCAGACTCTGACAGAATCTGAACCAGTGGTTAAAAGGCCTGGAGAATCCCACAGATTGACCTGTACAGCCTCTGGATTCACATTCAGTGACTACGGGATGCAGTGGGTCAGGCAGGCTCCTGGAAAAGGACTGGAGTGGGTTGCTTACATCTATACTAGTGGCATCTACTCTCAGTCAGTTCAAGGCCGGTTTACCATCTCCAGAGACAACAGCAGACAGCAGGTGTATCTGCAGATGAACAGTTTGAAGACTGAAGATTCTGCTGTTTATTATTGTGCTCGAGACTCACAGTGACTAGAGTTGTTTGAGCAGCTGTACAAAAACCTACAGTACTCATCTTTCACAGTGTTAGACCCCAAGCATATAGTATTTTTTGTATTCATATTACACAGGCTACTTCATATCATATTTAATTGTTAAATTTTATTTTTTTAGGTATTATTTGATTCTATATTTACATATATTTTTGAATAATTAATTATACAGATTACTAAAAACTGTTCACAAAAGTTCCAAAGACATTAGCAGGGGAGTGTGGTCAGCTGCTACAGACAAGCGGCTGGGCAAGTTCAGCGCCTTCATCCCCACCATGTTTTCCTGCCTCTTCAACATTTTGTTATGCCACTGCACAAGGGTGGTGTGGCTCACATCCACCAGCTGCAGGGCGTCCTGCTGCATAACTGCTCCATTGGCCAGAATGAGCTGCCTGATTGTTGTGTAGTCGTTCAGGATGAGATCCCATCAAGACACTGTGCCAGTCCCTTTCCTGCTTTGAAATGTGTTTAATATTTTTTATTTGCTCCCAGTCCGTTTCAAAGCCTGTCACAGCCGTTAAAATAAATGGGTTTTATTTTTCTTATGTGAGGCTCAATATTATGAGCAGTTTGGTAAAAAAAAACAAAAAAAAAACGTCTAAATTTGAATATGAACGTAGGGTAGGCTATTTATTTTAGGTTAGTATGGCTTTCTTAGGCCTACTACAGAGTCATGTTTCCGCTCCACATTTTTCGATGTGGGCGGAGTTAATGAGGTGAGTTTTGTTGAGATTCAGTCTTTCAACCACTAGGCCTATTTGAGCACATTTTATGGCATGAATGGAGTTTTCGTTTAATTGCTTTATGAAGTTAATTTAGAACAATGTTTGGAAACTTTGAGTGTGTTAAATAAATTAATCTCATTCAGTGACGAGGAACAGCCCGTGTCTTTTAATGTGGAAACGCCAACACACAGCCGAGCTGAAAGAATAAGGTTTATATTTTCATAGGCTACAGCTCATAAGAACACATCAAATCAACGCATTATTATAGACTACGCCTGTTCATTTAGGCATTCACACTGTCTGCGATTTTCTGTCTCCCTGCATGTGTCAGATGCAGACGTGCTACTGTCCTATTTCTGTAGTGTTACAGTTTAATCCTCGTTCATAAAATATGACGCTCTGCTGACAGTAGACTTGTTCATGTCTGTGATTGGTTATCTGCTGCTAACACCGCATCTTTTATGCGAACGCGCTTCCGGCTGGATTGGGAAACCCTGGGTTGACTTAACGAGTTGATAACCAGCTTCGTGGTACCGCTTATCCCGGTCGCGATTGTTAGGGTTAGTTAAGCCAGATAACGAAAACATATCCTGGGTATGTTGAATTCGCTTCGTGGTACAGGCCCCTGGCCCTGATAAAGACCATCATTAACTATTATAATCCACTTTTTCACAAAACAGCGAATGACAGCAAAACTATCTGCTGAAATCATCAAAGGTGTGAATAAAATAAATGCTGCATTTACACATTTCAGCCACATATGGAAAACTGGAAAACCGTTCACAAGATCAGCTCTATTTTTTAATAATAATAATGACTTTTTTATTTTCAAAACACAACACACCTTATATTGAAGCACCATCATCATCAGTGAGCCATTCAATTCAGATCAATTTTAAATGCCCTAATAAATATTTCATCTGAAGTTGGGGCCTAACAAACAGAGGCCTTTTCCAGGCTTATTAATGTTTTCACTCTGCACAGGCAGTAGCAATAAACAGAGTACTTTAAATGAATGGTATAAATTAATGCTGATAGAATTTAATCCAATAAGGAGATTTTCTTCTTTTGCCTTTTTCACTATTTATAGCACAATAAACAGACAAGTGACTGATGTTCTCATGTGTTATTGAACTCTTGAATAAGGACAGAAGAATATTTTACTCACAGAGCGCTTTTCAAGATTCTCAAAGACACTTAACATGCCAAATAGTCTAGATAACATTCTTAAAATACCTATAGTATTAAAATACTAATAGTATCAATATATAAAGACCAATATAAAAGATACAATATTACATCGTTTGAAAATTAGAGTTTTGAGTATAACTATCCATCCATCGTCAACCGCTTGTCCTGCATACAGGGTTGCTGGAGTTTTGAGTAACTACTTGACACAACACAACACAAAACAGTAACAGAGTGACTCTAAAACAATAACCCAAACCATCAGTAGACCTGAAGAAAAACCCCTCAGTGCCTGAACACTTGTAACATGAAGCCACCAGAGGAGGAGCCCTCAGACCACTAATGACTTCAACACCAGTTTACTGTTACAGAGAGAAACATTATGTAGCAATAAAAAAGTGTTATAACAAGGTTAATGATAATAATAGTACTAATGATACTATTACTACTACTACTACTAAAAATAATAATAATGATAACCAAGAAGAACAGTGTCCAAAGTGTCTTCTCTGTCTGACTCACATTGTTTATGTGAATTAATGACAGCATAATTTCAGCTCACACATTCAAAAAGAGCTAGTTTAATAAAGTGCTTTACAAATAACCACATTACTATTTAATAATCATCAAATGAGTTTTATTGTGGAAGTGAAATTTATGTGTGTGTGTGTGTGTCAGATGTTTCTGCAATATAATATGAAAGGTCGTTTGTGGACCTGAAGTCAAATAAAAAAAAACATAATGTCACCATGTTTTTTTTGTGTGTGTGTCATGATGATTCAGTTGTATGTTTAAAGATGTTGTTTTTTGAGGAAACTCTGATAAACTTTAAAAAAAAATCTACTTTTGAAGACATATAATTTAAAATTAAGCAAGTTTTAAACTTAGATGGCCTAAATCAAATTTAAAGAGGTGGTATTATGCTTTTTGGCTTTTCTCCTCTCCTTTATTGAGTTATATATCTTTTTTTGTGCATGTAATAGGTTAGCGGGGTCAGGTACGCCCTCAAACCCAGCTAGTCTGAGCAGAGGCCCTTTGGCTCAACTCACCTTTGTTTGGTTTTCCATTGTAGAAATGTTGTACCTGTACCTGCTTCCAGGTACTTTTTTTCGTATCACCTCACCTCCGTCGAGGTTCCAAGCGAGCTGAGGGATACTAAAATGTAACGTGAAAACAGGACAGACTGCTGATTGGTCAGAGAGAATATTCACTATTCACTGCATCATCATTGCTGCGCCAGACAGAGGCCAGCAACAGAAAGTTGCAGCAACAACGGCAGAGGAAAACACAGCTGGAAGGTTTTCATACCGCTTATCTGTCTTTACATTCTGAGTAATGTTGAAACGTTTTAACTTAAAAAAGAGAAAGCTGTGTGGATCGCTGATGTGTGTGTCGCATTGAACATTAAGTTGTGGCAGTTGTGTGTGGCGTCGCTATGACGACAAGCTACGTACTATCTCTGGGTACTATCTGCAATGAAAAACGGTGCAGGGCCGAGTAGAGTCGAGTCTATCGATTTGCGCTATGGTAGCATTTTTCGGCAAGGCAGCATAGATCGTCAGAACACCGGAAACAGTTCAACGTTTAGTCCTAAAAGACGATGCAACTCCGACTCTGTTTGGGTCTGGAAATTGACAATCACAATCTGTAAGTATACTTTATTGGTTGTGAATTATATTTAAAATGAACACGGCAATGTAACTTCACACTGTTCAAGTGTGGAGTTGTTGTAAACGTTGGCTAACGCAGCTAAAGTTATAACTATAAAATGCTAATGTTACACCTGATGTGAAAGCTACTGAGCAAACGTTTACATTGTTTGGTCAATTTTTATGAAATATGGTGACTTTTGTAGTGGTTTATGGTAAGATGTGCAACAATGATCTTGTGTGGTTGTGGACCATCTGGTCGCAGTCTGAAGTGGCTTTGATTTGGATCACACTACTTTGTTTCTTACGACCCGCCCTTCTCTGCTTCTGATTGGCTAGTAGTCCTTACCTGGGAACTGTGCATGTGCAACTCCTAACAAAGATTTTGTACAAGTAAGATGCATCACTCAGTAGCTCAGGAGCGTACAATACATACAGTGAAAAGAGGAGCTGCAGCAATGTGCAGTATGAGAAAAATATGGTGTTTTTTGAAAATTAAACCATTTAAACCTGTTCTGGTACAACAACTAAATAAGATTTTGAACCTGAAAATGAGCCTCTTTAACCTCTTTAAAAGCTGATGTTACAATTTGTTTTTCAAGTCCAATATACAAAGACCTGTCTCTCTGTGAGAACAAGTCAGTGCAAAGTGTCTTCCAACTTTACTAATCTGAGATGATGACAAACCTTTTAGTTTTCACTGCAACTTTTGTTTTATGCAGAATAACAGAGTTTATGTCTGACTGGACAATGTATCTGTATTAACTGACAAACATGGGCATTCATGGGTTGTTATTTCTATTAAAATGTAATGAATTTATAATGTATTGTCTTCACATGAAGACTCTTGGTGGAATGACTGATGTACAGTAAACATTAATTCTCCATATTCACCACATTCGACAGTAACTGAGATCCAATTTAAAAAATACTAAAATCACTGAAGCATGCTCCATCAGGGCTTTGAAAACAAACTGAATGATGGACAGTTAATAATGAAACATATTTCATCAATAAAAATGTATTTTTCAGTGTGTTGGGACAGTTTATCATGACCCACAGCAACATCTGCATTTTTACAGGTTTACTGTAATTACAACATAATTCAACTGCAGTGAAAACTTGTTTTAAACGCTGTATCATACAACATTCTGTTTCAGTTTTAAGACGTATTTATATATTAAAAAAACTTTGCTAAATTAACCATCTTGTTGACTTTAAACTCCATATAAGCTCTTTCATAAAAAATGTTCTTTAAATAAATAATGATTTCTCTAGCGAGTCTGGTCACTTAAGGAAACACACTGTTTACACTCACAGCAACACCTGCATTTATAAGAAGACAACTTCACTTTAATTACAACATTAATTCAACTGCAGTAAAAATTGCTTTAATAAGCTCTGTATCATACAGTACA